ATTTTTAGGCTTCGTGTTCTTCACAAAAGTTGTAGCTTTGGGTGTTAGATTTTTAAAAGTTTTGGAATCACTCAAAAAGGATGTTTAGAACTCTAGTTATGGTTGTTTTAGTGAATAGAGGTCAAGTTATCAGTGTGGATTATATCTATTTCAGATTTTGAAATTTTTAGCTAAGTAGATGATTTTTTTAGAATTTCATGTCTTCATAAGAGTTTTAGATTTTTCTCTTATATTTCTTTGACAGTTTTCGAAGGGAGATGCATTTTTTTTATGTTCTAAGGTATTATCATGTGGATTAAAAATTGGTTTAAAGTTGTATGATATTATGTTGTAGAGGTAGTTCATAATGATGATGTGATGTGAATTCATGGTGAATTACATGAGGGGTATATGAACCATTATTTTGTGTGAATTTATCTATATTATGCATGTGATATGGAATTGAAATGTGAATTGTAATATGATGATTGGACATAGTCATATGCATGACACTAGGCTCTAAGGGCATGCACGTGATATGATGTTATTTATGTGTTGTTGGGCGCATGGTCGTATGTGTGATACTAGATGTGTGATGCATCAGGTACATTCGTATGCGTGATATCGGTGCCGGTAGTGGAATGCATTAGCATAGTCGGGTGAGTGACACGATGTTGAACATGTGATGCGTCAGTAGGGGTGTATATGTGATTTCTAGATAGAAATGATTAGTTTCTGCCAAATCAGAGACTTTGAAGTCTATCTATGAGATACCACGTGTTGGTTTTTTGAGAAATGAAGAAGTGCCCACTGGAGTTGAATCAGTAGCGAAACAAATTCAGACAAGTGACAACTATAGCCATAATCTTTCATAAACAAAAGCTTTTATAGCATATAAATGCCAGATGCATGTTTGAAGTAAAACATATGACAACAACTTTGACAAAGTATTTATAACATGCTTCAAAGCTGCTGCTCCTCTTATATTGATTCTTCGGTTGTTAGATTCTGATGTAAAACCAGCCATGAGTTTTATTTTTATGAGGAGATGGGTTGTAAGACAAATAGATCGGTAATTTCATATTTGATTATTTAATCACTGTAGAAGTTCTAACACAATTGATATACAACTGGGTTAAGCGTAGTCTCTCACTATCGGTTGAGATGTATCCTAGATGCAAACCAAAATAAAAATTATAATAAAATGACAATTTAAACTTCGAACTGGTTATAAATACAACTTTGAACTGTGACATAAAATGACTCGAGTTTGTAAGCTCACACTACAATAAAATAGACTTTTAATGACATTTAATATAACTTTTAGTGACAATAAAAATTGCTACAAATTTTTTTACCGGCATTTCACACATTAGCCATTGTATGCAATGTCGTTAAAACATTTACCGGCAATTATTTTAAATGCTGGTAAAGACCCTTATAATGGTCGAGAAAAGTGTATAACTTTTTGCCGCTAAAAGTTTAAGAAAAGATTTATAATACTCTTTAGTTATCTTATTTCTAGTCGATGTAGGACTTGTAAGATGAGTACAAATACTCTTTAGTTACCTTATTTCTAATTGATGTGGGACTTAGAAGATGAAGGTTATCTTCTAAGTATATATTTTTTAAGTTTTTTAATTATCTTATCTCCTAAATACCAACTTAGAATAGCAAGTTATAGGTCTAACTCAACCTTATAAAACATACTTATAAGGTGAGAGTTATCATTCAGTTATATACTCTTTAATTATTTTATTTCTAGTCGATGTGGGACTTAAGTTTTTTCTAACAAATAATTGTCGCTAATAATAATTTTTGATGTGATGTAAATGTATTTTTAGTGGTCATTATATAATAGTCATTAATATTTTTATTAAATAATAAAATAGAAACAATTAATTTATTGTCATTAAATAATTGTCGGTAATACTAAATTTTGTTGTAGTGTCAGTTGAATTTGAATATGAAAAATTAGTGAAAAATCTTAATTTAACCAATCTCAATGTTTTGTCCCGATCCAACTAAGGCCCAAAACCTACCCGATAAAGTCATTAAACCGATCAGCCCAAAACCCATTTCATCCTAAGTTTCAAACGGGTGAAATCTATTCATAATTTCTCTTATGAGTGTGGTTGTTAAAAAATCATAATAATTACCAATGAACAATATAATATATAATATTATAATATATTCGAATAAAATTTAGAAAGAATTTCATCTCCAGAATAAATGAGAGATCTATTCTTGTCATTCTTGAACAACGTGAGAGAAGACTGTTCTTTTCCTGGTAAGAGGTGAAAAAACAAAAGATAAGAAATGATTTTCTACATATGAATTGACTAATGGGGTACCAGTTCTATATCTTTACTGGTAAAGATTAGAGACCTCTCAACGGACTACTAAATAGTCCAACTCATTATGGATCATTCATCAGAAACCCAATATACATTACCAATAAATTAATAATAATGTGCAATATAATTGATATTAACATATAAATATAATTTATTAATTAATTTTAATCCATACTAATAATAATAATAATAATAAAATAGAGAATAATTATATAAATATAATAGTGGGAGGAGTGATAAGGTGGTTTGGTGGCAAAGGAGGTGGTCCTGGGGCTGGAGGGATAAGGATGGTCGGAGGTTCAAACCCCCCTGTGACCCAACTAACATAACTTACTAATTACTAACATTTGCCTATCAAAAAATATATATATATAATAGTGGTATTTTAGGATTAAAACTTGAAACCAACGAAAACTAAATGATGATTAGGACAAATTATGTATAGTAAACGTCACCTAATACTAAATGAATTCCATCATCATGCTATCATTTTATTTTCCTATCTGAAACAGATGAAGTGCTTATATGAATTGCTTCTTTCTCCCTTCCTCTTGGGTTATTCTATTATTTGAGAAAACTCAACACGCAAGGTTAGCGAGGAGATTTTAACAAACACATGAAAATGCACATGAAAATGAACGTTGAAGCATTCCCAACTACATGACTACTTCTTCGTAAACTCCATGATCAAGACCAATCCATGACAAGGAATTCAAATGAGAACAATAACCCAAGACCCACAAAAATGACTTTACACTCATATGAATTCCACCATCATGCTACCGTTTTATTTTCCTATCTGAAATAGACGAAGTGTTTTATATGAATTGCTTCTTTCTCCCTTCCTCTTGGTTTATTCTATTACTTGAGCAAACTCAACACGCAAGGTTAGTGAGGAGATTTTAACAAACACATGAAAATGAACGTTGAAGAATTCCCAACTACATGATTACTTCTTCGTCAACTCCATGATCAAAACTAATTAAGAATGACAAATAAACTCATACCCATGGGTAATACTTGAATTTGTCCTAACTTTAACGGAAAATACCCGATTTGATCAGGTACAAGTACCTGTACGGGTAAAACTCGAAATATTAAACCACGGATGGGGACGGATATATACTTACCCGCGCCGTCCCCATCCTCGTCCCCATCCCTAGTTTAATATCTGTTTCGGATTTGATTGTTTTAAAGAATTTTAATATTTAATTATGTGTGCTTGTTTATTATGATGTGAAACATTTGTGATTGTTTAATTATTAAGAAGTCTCTTGATTAAAATATGAGATGAACAAACAACTCAATTACAATTGTAATATAATGGAAAAATAAGTTAAAAAGTATTGTGTGTGTTTTTTGCAAAAGAAAATAATTAATTTTTGATGGAGATGAGTATATTCGATACCCACCGAAGACGAGGATGAGACAAAAATTACATACTCAATGGGTATGAAAACGAGGATGGATTTGAACCACAGGAACAAAGATGTGTATCATGAAACTCGTATCCGATTCGTCCCATTGTCATGCCTAAGACCAATTCATGACATGGAATTCAAATGAGAACAATAACCGAAGACCCACAAAAACGACTTTACACTCATATGAATTCCACCATCATGCTATCGTTTTATTTTTCTATCCGAAATAGACGAAATGTTTATATGAATTGTTTCTTTCTCCCTTCCTCTTGATTTATTCTATTACTTGAGCAAACTCAACATGCAAGGTTAACGAGGAGATTTTAACAAACACATTAAAATGAACGTTGAAGCGTTCCCAACTACATGACTACTTCTTGGTCAATTCCATGATCAAGATCAATCCATGACATGAAATTCAAATGAGAACAATAATCCAAGACCCACAAAAATGACTTTATACTCATGAATTCCACCATCATGCTATCATTTTATTTTCCTATCCTAAACGGTGTGTTTATATGAATTACCTCTTGTTTATTCTATTATTTGGGCAAACTCAACACGCAAGGGTAACAAGGACATGAAAATGAACATTGAAGCATTCTCAATTACATAACTACTTCTCCGTCAATTTCATGATGAAGACCAATCCATGACATGGAACTCAAATGAGAATAGTAACCCAAGACCCACAAAAACGACTTTACACTCGTATGGGCCCTTTTATTTTTCGGAACATTTGGCCTTTTGTGAGGTGAGCCTTATCATAATTCTAGTACCTGTACCAATAGAATCCTGTTTATTGCATTTCACGGTTCTAGCAAAACGCCAAGAATTTCTGACTAGCAATTTACAACAGGTGCCCACTCGCAAAAGCATTCAGCTTTTCTTTATGTTCCATAGCTTCATATTTGTCATGCGTGAGATTCATCATTGATGCACATATAAATCAAATATCCTGATTAACACTACTACCCAGTAATAGACTCGCTAACCCTGAACTAGAAACGATGCTTCTGACATAAACATCGTCATATCTGGACTCAGGAGGGGTGAATTCTGGACAAGAAAGCCGTTAAAATTATTTTTTTTTCTTTAATAGTATAATTAAAGAAAAAAGGATAATTAATTAAACTACAAAACTTAGTTTCTCATGTGTCGTTTCAATCAGAATCGGATATTTGCAAATCTCATCATTAACTAACATTCAAGTGTCTTGCCGAAATAAATTTTCAAATTTAAAACGAGAACTGTATTTAAATTTTGTCTTTAATTATACACATAAACAGAACAAACAAGAGAAAAGGAAAATATAAAGACAAATTAAAATAAACTTTTTTTAATATTTTATAATTATTCATTTTCTTATCTCTCCTAAGTGGCCAAGGTTCAAGCCTGTTTGATAAAGGAAACAATTTGATCGATCAAAAGATGAGCATTCTCACTGTTGGGTTTGAACAAATGAAAAACATGGTCCTCATCCTTTATCTCCAACACTTGCGCAACTCCAGGCCACCCACTTTCTTCAAGCAACTCTTTATAGTACCAAGCCCTATCCCTCACCAAATCCTTCTCAGCCACACAAACAAGCAATCTCTCACAACCTAACTTCCCCACTTTCGGATCCTTAGCCGGGTTTACAATCGGGTCGTCGGACCCACCCGCGCTGGGGCACGCAAACCGCCACAAATCGTGTATCTTCTTAGCTTGCTCAGGCCGATTCGCCTCACTCCCAATGGGTTCCTCTCCCCAGAAAAACGGATGCACCAAAACAACCCCTTCAACGTTCACACCGTTTAACCCTTCCGTCCCGACCCGAACGCCTAAATAGCTCGCGATGTTGGCGCCGGCGCTGTCGCCGGCGACAAACACTTTGTTAAAATCTGCGTGGCGGTTGAGCCACTCTTCGGGGCCGTTTCCGTCCGCGTGGGAAGCGACCCATTTGAGTGCATGCCAGGAATCTTGGTGGCCGGTGGGAACGGGGTGCTCCGGCGCCCTCCTGTAGTGGACGGAGACAGCGACTGCGTTAGCCTTAGAAACAACCTTGTTAAGGAGGTTGTGGTAGTTCGGGGAAAACGGGGTTTCGATGCAGAAGGCGCCGCCGTGGACGTAAACGAGGAGAGGGAGCTTACGTGGCGGGGGGTAAGTGGCTTTGGGAATGAAAAGCCTCGCGGATACGCCGTCTTTTTCGGAGATTACGACGTCTTTGGATTCCACGTTGGTTTCCGGGTCGAGACACGGGGGAACAACCTCGACGCCGGCGAGCCTCTCTATGCGACCGCTTTTGTAGACTTTGAGGACGGGGGAGAGGTCGTAGGCTACTTCAGCGTCGGTGGAGGTTGAATCCATGGTGGATGAGTTTAAGGGTTTGGCGCGTTTCTGAGAAGGAATTGGAAGAGGGTTATATGCTTTAAGGGGGAGGGGTGGAAGAAAATTGACGAATGCAGAGTTTGGTTTTGTTGGGACGTTATTGTTGAGATGTTTCAGTGGTTGGAGTCCGCTGAAGCTTGAGCACCTTATCATATTTGCAAGGTCTGAACGTTTCCTTAATACTTCTACACGTATATTCAAAACATGGATCAGATTCTCTGCAGATGAATTCAAAATGAGATGTATGCATCAAGTTGTGAAAAGCTAAAGCCATAAGCAGAACAAATAAAACATATTGCACAATTGAGGAAGGATGGAAGATAAGGGTGAGTATGATAGAAATTAAATTACATTACAATAATTACACACATAATAAATGTTTAAATTATTGAATAACTTTTGTTTGATGAATAATAAATAATTTAAATTAAATAATATTAAATTTGTTATAATATATTTTTTAACATTAATTATAATAATAAATTATTATTATTTTAATAATGACAACAATAATAAAAGTGATTGTGGTAATAATAACGATCATAAAAGTGAAAAAAATATAAAAATGATAGATGGTGGTGATAATGGTAATGTTAGACAATGATACTAAGAGTCAAGTGGTGGTATTAGTACACAATGGTAGTAAATGTTTTTTTACTTAAAACAAAAAGTGTTGTCCATAGATGTTAAAAATACAAAATGATTTGAACTTTCTAAAACGTGCAATGCATTCTATCAAAGGATTTAAATATTGCATACTTTCCCAAGTTCTTAACTAAAAGAGAGAGAGAACAAAGGAGAAAAGAGAAGAAAGTAGTGTTCATTGATCACGACTCTTACCTAATATATATAAAAAGTGATACGGACCATTATGATTATAATTATAATTAATCACAAGAATTAAAAATAAATAATTTTTAAAAGTTTGATAATTTAAGTTAATTAAAACTACAACAATTATATGTCATTATATAATTAAAACCAATATTAACATGACTTGAAAAATTATCAATCAATAAAATAATAATTTTGAATTTAATTTAATTTAAAATAATTTTTTGAATAAATTAATCATTTAAAATATATTAAAATATTTAACAATCTCCACATATTTCAAAAGATTAAAAAGGAATTAGAAATTCTCGTAAAAGATGTAATACATTAGACTTGTGTAATAAATTATTGAACTAGATCTAGATTAATAAATTAATCTTATATAAAGACTCTTACAATCATGTTATAAACACACAAATTCTTAATATATTTATTTTTTAACTCATCTTATTTTTCTTCTTCTTTTTTTTTCCTCCTAAGCCAAGGTTTCTAAGAGTCTAAACAAGCTTTAAGCTTATAAATATTTTTTTAGAATTTTTCTATCGAAAATATTTTTTTTCATAAATAAACTCTCAAAAAAAATATTTTATATATAATTTAAATTTATAATTTGTTAATCTAGGTGCCCCATGTGATATCCGGCTGCAAGACAAGATTTATAATTTGTTAAATTTGTTAATCTTATTTATATATAATAATTTATACTTTTATAAAAAAAAAAAAAAAGGTCTTGCACGGTTGTCAAGTTTATGATTTATAATTTGTTGTTTTAACAATTTTTAATTACATCTCGAGGTGTTAATACTTAATACGCATTAAATAAAATAATTAAATTAAAATTTCAATAATGTAATTTTAATATACAGATAGTCATTTTTTTATTAATTTAATATAAAAAGTAAAGATATCCTTTTAAAATGAAAAATATAGAAACAATATCACTTGCCTGCAGGTTCGCACAAATGAATCAATGTTCTGATTAAATACTAGTGGTGAATGGGAAATGATGCTTCTGACAGAAACATCTTCGTTTGGAGGGGTAAAATAAAATCTAGACAAGAAAGCTGCTAAATAGAAAAATAATCTAGCTATCAAAGCTTGACTAATTGGTGATCTCATTCTATCAAAATTATTATTAATGATAATTATCTAATAATAAATTAATTATTTTTATTTTATTATTTAATAAAATATTAATAATTACTAAAAATTATATCTACACTATATCAAAATTTATTATTAATAAAAATTATGTAATAATAATAAATTATTTATTTATTATTTTATTATTTAATAAAATATTAATAATTACTAAAAATTATATCTACACTATATCAAAATTTATTATTAATAAAAATTATGTAATAATAATAAATTATTTATTTATTATTTTATTATTTAATAAAATATTAATAATTACTAAAAATTATATCTACACTATATCAAAATTTATTATTAATAAAAATTATGTAATAATAATAAATTATTTATTTATTATTTTATTATTTAATAAAATATTAATAATTACTAAAAATTATATCTACACTATATCAAAATTTATTATTAATAAAAATTATGTAATAATAATAAATTATTTATTTATTATTTTATTATTTAATAAAATATTAATAATTACTAAAAATTATATCTACACTATATCAAAATTTATTATTAATAAAAATTATGTAATAATAATAAATTATTTATTTATTATTTTATTATTTAATAAAAATATTAATAATAAATAAATAATAATCATTAAAAATATATTTATAACAGTAATTATTGAAAATGATTAATAAAAAATAAAAATAAATTTTAATTGATCTTATTTAAAGAAATTTAAATTATTCATAAATTAGAGAAAAAATAATTAAATAATATATAAATAAAAAATAACATTTATCTTAGTTTTGTAGAAATAAGTTATATTCACAATTTCTTATTCTAAAATAGTATCTAATCATTATTATTATTTACGTATCAAACTTAATAATAAGACGTGGATTAAAAATAAAATAATTAAAATATATAAATTAGAAATTAATTCTTAAATTTTTAGTAACAATAATAAAAAAATATAAAAAAATATACATATTTTTCTCAATGGTCTTTACCAATATAAAACTATTATCAATAAGTTTTACCGACACTATATACGATAATTAATATAAAGAGACGGATAAAATGTATTATAACATTTTGTAATATCACTAAAAAATAATATTAAATATCACCATAAAAATCCATTTTATTATTGCCTCTGATGAAAGGTGGAGAGCATACAGTGAAAAGGAGAACCGAAACACAACAACAAAATAAAGCAGACATAACATAACAATGTTCAACGCTGTTTGATGAAGGAAGCAACTTGGTTGAGCAAAACCTTTGCATTCTCACAATTCGGATTGAACATATGAAACACGTGATCCTCATCCTTAGTCTCTACCACCTCGACAACTCCAGGCCAAGCACTCTTACGAAGTAACTCTTTATAGTACCAACCCCTGTCCTTCAGCAAATCCTTCTCAGCCACACAAACCAGCACTCTCCCACAACCTAGCTTCCCCAGATTCGGATCCTTATCCGGGTTAATAATCGGGTCATCGGATCCCGTCGTGGTGGGGCATGAAAAACGCCACAAATCGTGTACTTTAGCAGCGTGCTCGGCCCGCTTCGCCTCACACTCGAGCAGTTCCGTACCCCAAAAATAAGGATGCACCAACGCAATCCCTTCAACCCTCACACCGGGAAACCCTTCTGTCCCGACCCGAATGCCCAAATAGTTTGCGATGTTGGCGCCGGCGCTGTCGCCGGCGAAGAACACTTTCGCAAAATCAGCGTGGCTGTTCAGCCACCCGTCAGGGCCGTTTCCGGCCGCATGCGAAGCGACCCACTTGAGCGCGAGCCAGGAATCTTGGTGGGCGACGGGAACCGGGTGCTCCGGTGCCCTCCTGTAGTGGACGGAGACAGCGACTACGTTAGCCTTTGAAACAACGTTGTTGAGGTAGTTGTGGGAGTTGGGAGAAAACGGGGTTCCGATTAGGAAGGCGCCACCGTGGAAGTAGAGAAGGAGAGGGAGCTTTTGCGGCGGGGGGTATGTGGTTTTTGGAATGTAAAGCCTGGCGGATATGTCGTCTTTTTCGGAGATTACGACGTCTTTGGATTCCACGTTGGTTTCGGGGTCAAGAGACGGAGGAACAACCTCGACGCCTGCTAGCCTCTCTATGCGGCCGTTTTTGTAGACTTTGAGGATTGGAGGGATGTCATAGGCTACTTCGCTGTCGGTGGAGGTTGAATCCATGGTAGTAGGGGTGGGTAAAATAAACTGAATTGTAGCGATACTAAACTTAATATTAATTCAGACGAACCGAAGTAAACTAGATATTAGTTCATACGAATTGAAATGAATTATTTTTTTGTGTCATTGAACTGAACTGAACTATATTATAAAAACTTGAACTGAACTGCAATTTAAACTGCATTAAACTGTTATGATATTTTGAATTAAACAATTTTGACTCGTTGATCTATTAAAATAGGACACATTTGTCAATTTTATTTTATTTTCCATTTTATTTAAATTTTTCAAAGAAAAAATATAAAATTAAGTCAAACAAACTCAGTAAATTTTAAGCCTAAAAATAAGTAATCCAACATAATTCAATTGATCCGTTAGGTTCGATAAAATTGATACAATTTTTCTTATCACTTTTTTTTTTTAAGTTTTGGTTATTAGATTATCGAGTTAATTCATTAAGACATAACATGTTAGACACATTTAATTTTTATCCTTTTATAAAAATAGTTCAATTTTTATAATTCAGTTCAGTTTTATAATTTAGTATAGTTATCTTTCTAACAGTTCAGTTCAGTTTTTTTTAAATAATTTAGTTCAATTTTTTTATAAATAGTTTAATTTTTTTATAACACACTTCAGTTCAATTTATCACGAGTTCAATTTTTTTTCCCACCCCTACGTGGGACGTGCAGAGTAAAGAGGTTTTCCAAGTTTATGACTTATGGTTGATCTAAGAGAAAGGGATGGAATTGGAAGGAACGAATGGGCAATGAAATTTGGAGGGAAGCTCGCTTTCCATCGGAAAGAGACGTTGAGACATGTCAGTGGTTGGCATCCACTCATGCTTGAGAGTTGATAACCTTATCAATTAGTGGGAGAGTCAGACTTAATAGTCAACACTCAATAGTATTTCTTCACCGACAAAGAACGCTGTATAATGTATTTAATATAAATATATATTATTATTAAACTATTTAATATATATTTTATGTAATAAAAATAAATGTTTTTTTATTTGTTTAATGTATTTAATTGTAAGTTTAAAATTCTTGCGGCATATATATAAGCAAAATAGTATTTATAGTATTCAATTATTTTTTATCTTTAGATTATAATATAAATATTTATTATATAGTGTACACTATACGATAACGAGACTATTATATTTATTTTTTATATTATAATTAATGTTTGTGATTTTTGACATATATAATGATTAATGTTAATAATACTATAGGAAGAAATTTAGTAGATATATATGTCATATTAGTCGATTTATCAGATGTATATCAGAAAGTTAGATAATTGACACGGAATAAAATTTAAAATAATTAGGCAACACATTATGTACAAAATTGTAATTAGTTTAATTTATTATTATTATTATTATTATTATTATTATTATTATTATGCATAAAAAAAAAACTTAGACTTAAATATATTTTGTTAACATGTGTGAATTTCTACATTGCTAGATGTAATTTTAACTCGGTTAAAAATGTGTTTATAAAATGATAAGGTTTCCTATTGAGGAACTACTCGATTAAGGATGTGCATGCCTATAAATAATAAGGTTTTCTTATCGAAGATCTACTCGATTAAAGATGTGCCTATAGAATAATAAGACTTCCCTACCAAGGACTTATTCGGTTAAGGATTTCCCTATAAAATAATAAGGCTTTCCTACCAAGAATATACTCGGTAAAGGATATGCCTATAAAATAATAAGGCTTCCCTGTCAATAATCTCTCTGATTAAGGATGTTCCAATAGAATAATAAGACTTCTCTATTAAGGACTTACTTAGTTAATGATGTACTTATAATATAATAAAGCTTCCCAAGGACCTACTTGGGTAAGGATATGCCTATAAGATAATAAAGTGTCATTCTCAAGGACCTATTATATTAAGAATGCTCTTATAAATTAATAAGGCTTTCTTGTTGAGGGCCTATTTGGTTAACGATGTACTATAAAATAATAAGACTTCTTTGCCAAGGATATACTTGGTTAAGAATGTACCTATATCATGATAAAGTGTTCTTCTCAAGTACCTACTTGATTAAGAATGTTTCTATAAAATAATAAGGTTTCCTTGTTAAGGATCTACTCAGTTAAGGATGTACCTATAAAATAATAAAACTTTCCTATCAAGGACCTACTTGATTAAGGATGTGCCTAAAAGATAATAAAGTGTTTTTCTTGAAGACTTACTCAATTATATGTATGTTTTAGATTTAAGTTTTATGCTTGAAATTATTTTTAGTTATACAAGAATGATCACTACTTGGTTGTGGTATATCTTAACTATATTTTTGTACTCGTTGGAAAAAGTACTCATTCAAAGTCTTCGATCCTTGGTCATCGATCTTCAAATTGGTGGTACTCATCCAAAAGAGATTTCGAAGTTTAAGTTAGTAAGTATTCAGAGTATATGAATGTAATCTCAAGAATGAATGTCCCTTTAAGAACAAAATTCATGGAATATAAATAGTAGAAGATACGTTACCGTATACGTAAAAATAATAGTGTTATATTTTACTTTTCTCCTTATATTTCATTTATTACTTGCCTATGTCCAATACAATTTTTAACTTAGAAAAATTTTCATCAAGATTTTTTAAGGTAATTATTATTCGTTCGAGGTGTTTCTTGATTTTAAACTTAGAAAATCTTGTTGAAAAATTGCTAAGGTAATTAAGTGAAAGTCATTCTTAGAAAAGATACAAATATACTACTATTTTCTAGATGAGATTTGGTCAATGAATATAAGCATGAAAGTCATGCTTAGATAAGATATACTCCTACGTACACTACTATTTTCTGGCTGATATTTCGGTCAATGAATGTTAGCTGAAAGTCGTGCGCTCGTGCTTAGAAGTCGAATTGGGTAGGACAAACAATTGTTAAATATTTACTAATTTGTTTCTTTTACATCTTTATTTTAGTAATTTGTTAATTACTTTATATTTAATAAAATTTTGAATATATCAATTAATATTTGACTTATATTTGATAACTTATTTTGAGTAATGACCCATACGACTGAAAGCTATTTGACAGTAATTGACAATAAATATATTATTCTAAACGACCCTAAACCTCAAACACAACACAAATTTTCATGATAATTGACGATATTATTCTAAACAGGTAAATAATAATTTAACATATTTTTATAAATTTTTTATTTTATGCTTAAAATCACAATCCTAATAAAATAATTTAGTTAAAAATGAAATAATTTTTTTTTATTTCAAATATCACTTGCTCGGGCTGGGTTGGCGGGATGAAATTGTTTCTGGCCAAGACTTGGCTCTTGGCCCTTTGTTTCTTTCTATTTTATATAGGGGCATCTTTTATTAGCTCAAGAACATGGAAGATGATAATTATTATAAGATCCTTACGAGTGTATGTAACTTAACCTACGTAAAACTAGAATGTAAGATAAATGGTCAAATTGGGAGTTTGGAACAACCTCATCTCAACTAATTACATGTTTGTGCTATTTTTATTTTTATTTTTTAATGTTCTATTGTGTTTTGTACTATATCGGTCTCTGTTTGATCTAATAAGTCAAACTCTTCACACTTCTATGCTCAAGGTTGGAGGGTTGTGTACTGTATTGATCTACCACCTTCCAACGATCAAGCAAAGTGAGAAAACTCTCCGATTGATGATCAACCAACTCGTCAAGTAGTACATCACATAACAATACTTGATCGGCTTCTAAACCATTCTCCCATGAGTAACTAGGACAAGGTCTTGTGATTTGTAAAATAGACACAATAATGATCATACATATCAAGATTTATAGGTTTATTAATGATAATAATGATACAACGTAATTTATCAGATCATGGTCTGAAGTAAAGAACTCACGAACATAATAACTGATTGATAATATTTAAATTGGTATGCGACTGAGCAATCAAACAAATCAAACATTTATACTATTTGTGTCGATCTATTACTGACTGAGCAAATCAAGCAGACCTTCTAATTGATGGTTGACCAACTCATCAAACTCGTTAAATAACAAGACGCAATCAACTTTCAAATTGTTCCCCCATGAGTAGCTTACAAAATAAGCATTATAAAGATCATAAATGTCAATATTTATAGAACTATTAGTCTTTATTATTAATAAAAGGGATACTTCTTTTTAATGTACACAAATTTTAGACTACTTTACACTTATAATTATCTTTAAATTAATTTCTCTTTTATTTATGTATTTATTTATTTATTCTGTCTCTTATTTTTTACTTGATTGTGATATTTTAATAGTTTTAAAAACTTTTACATATTTTAAATAATCACTCATTATTTATTTTTTTATATAGAGACACACAATATTTCTTTTTTCCCTAATAATAATAATGATACAATGTAATTTGTGAGATTATGATAAAATGTAAGAAATTCACATCCATAATATCAATTCAATGTATATATAACAAGTTAACAACTCCTAAACTTTAGGAGCCACTAGATTTTTCTGGAAGAGATTTGATATTTGAACATATTTACATGTCATTCATTTTTATTTTATTTATCATTAATAAAACGGTACAAAAGACTACTAACACTATTAGAAAAATGTCATTTTCCTGCAAAAAAATATTTGCAAATTTCTTTTTGCGAATTTTCCTGCAAAAAAATATTCACAGAAATTTTTTGCGAATTTATTTGCAAAAAATAATTTACAGATATTTCTTACAAATTTTTTTTATGAAAAATAATCTACAAGAAATTTTTGCAAATTTTGCTACAATTTTAATGATCATAGAAATTTTTTTCCACGGTAAAAATTTGCAGAAAATATTGTAAGAATTTTATTTTGTTTCTTGTAGATTTTCTTGCAAAAAATAAATTCGCAAGTAATGTTTACTAAATGGTAGAAAAATTTTGCAAGTAACTTTTCCTACAAATTTTCTTGCCAATTTTAATCTACAGAAAAAAATCAAAAAAATATTTAAATTTATAAGTTTAATATTTAAAAAAAAAAACTTCAAGTCCCACATCAATTGAAAATAAAATAATTAAAGAGTATATAAGTTGGGACAATACTTACCTTACAAGTTGATTTTTATGGTTGAGTGTTAAAGCTTATAATCTACAATCTTAGAATTTAAAAGATTATATATCACATGTTAGAGGCGTGGAAATAAATGTTTTGGATGAGTTCATTCTGAGCATTTGAAAGTTAAAGAATTGTTGATAAAATTTATAGTAATTTTTTTAATTTTTTTCGTAAAAAATATTTTTGTAGAATTTCTTGCAAAAAAATTCGCAGGAAACTTTCTTGCAATTTTTTTTGCAAGAAAATTTCTTGCGAGTTTTAAAATTCGCAAAAACATATTAACCATGAAAGTATTACCTGCAGATAAAATTTTGTAGAAAAATTTGTAAGAACGAGTTTTCTTGCGAATTTTTATAAAAAATTTGTAGGAAAAGTCGCATCTAGTAGGGTAAGAAACTATCCTAGCTTTTGATAAAAGAAAAAGTGAACCTAAATACAAAATGATAAAGAATGGCCAAATTTTATTATTATTTTAATTTTATATAACTTGCTATCCATCTCGTCAATTTTTGGTGATGTAAATGAGTTTTGGAAGTCTAAGAGCAAAATTTCGCAAGCAGGGACCCGTTAAGGATAATTAATGAAAAAGCTAAGATAATATTATACCATTATACTGATCTTAGAAAGCAGCCAATGACATAAAACAAACTGAAAGCGCAGATTCTGAAAACTAAAATGCAAGTAAACGAAGGATGTCAACATACAACTTTGTCTGCAAAGTCCGAAGTTTTTGCAGACATAAGTTATAATCCCTAACTATGGTTGATAAAGGAAGCAATTCGATCTAGCAAAGAGACAGCGTTGTGAGAATCGGGATCTAACAAGTGAAACACGTGGCCTTCTCCAATTGCCTCCATGACCTCAACAACACCCTTCCACCCACACTTGTCCAGCAACTCCTTGTAATACCAGCCCCTATCCTTCAGCAAATCATTCTCAGCAACACAAACCAGCACTCTCTCGCAACCCAGCTTCCCCAGATTCGGATCCTTAGCCGGGTTCATCAACGGGTCGTCGGATCCACTCGAGGCGGGGCAAGTAAAACGCCATAAATTATCCACTATGCCAACACCTTCGGCCTTTTGTGCCTCAGATCCAATTCGCTCCACGCCCCAAAAGAAAGGATGCACCAAAACAATTCCCCGAAGATCCAGACCCGGAAGCCCGTGGGTCCCGACCCGAATACCCATGTGGTGCGAGATGTTCGCTCCGGCGCTGTCTCCAGCGAAAAACACCCTCCCGAAATCAGCGTGGCGATTGAGCCACTCCTCAGGGCCGTCTCCGCCGACATGGGCCGCGGCCCATTTGAGCGAAGCCCAAGAGTCTTCGTGAGCGACGGGAACGGGGTGCTCCGGGGCTCTTCTGTAGTGAACGGAGACAGCAACGATGTGGGCCTTGGAAACGATTGAGTTGAGGAAGTTGTGGTAAGGAGGCGAGAAGGGTGTTTCTATGCAGAAACCCCCGCCGTGGAAGTAGACGAGTAGAGGGAGCTTCTGGGTTGGATGATGGAGTTTGGGAAGAAAGATCCTGGCCGATACGTCGTCGTCTTTGGAGATGACGACGTCTTTGGATTCGACGTCTGTTGCGGGATCGCGAGAGGGGGGAAGGACGTCGCAGCCCATGAGTCTGACCAAGCGACCGTCTTTGAAGATTTTGAGAAAGGGTGAGAAGTCCTGTGCTACTTCGCTAGAGCTGGAATCCATGGGCAAGTATCTTGGTTTATGTGATGAAGGATAAATGAAAAGCTATGGTATTGGTAGGTGAGAAAATCATCAGCTATATATAGGGTAATATCTTAGGTAATGCATCATAGTCCCCAAGTATTATCAATGACTTCAACTAATTATCGTGCTATGCATGGATTTATTTATTTTATCCGGCTTAATTGTAATTTTGGTCCCCATAATTTGGTGTAGGAGAAATTTTGGTCTTTATAATTTAAATTACTTAATTTTGATCCATAAATTTAAATAATGAACAATTTTAGTTCCATAAATAATTTATCATCCAAAATTTAACCGATGTTAATGATGTGAATTTTAATTTTAATTTTTTTGCATTTTGGATCTGAACATGGTGTAAAACTAGATCCAGAACGGTTTGTTCTCCTTTCTGAATGGCCCGTTCTTCTTGCAGCACTTGCAAAACGATCCGTTCTCATTTTAGAACAGGCCGTTCCGGATGCAAAAATACACACATGACGAATGGATCAAAACGGGTCGTTCTGCTTGGACGTTCCAGTTTCAAAATTAACAAACTACGCGTGCAAGCAGAACGACCCGTTTTGCTTGGAGAACGAGCCGTTCCAGTTGCAACATTAACGCACAACCTGAATTACAAACAGAAAAGAAATTAAATAATATATAATTAATGTTTATTTAGCATAAAATTCATATAATTAACGTCGGTTAAATTTTGGATGGTAAATTGTTTGTGGGACTAAAATTGTCTATTATTTAAATTTATGGACTAAAATTAAGAAATTCAAATTATGAGGACCAAAATTGCTCCTACACTAAATTAGGAGGACCAAAAGTGTAATTAAGTCATTTTGTTTTTTATAAAATAAATAAATTTATAGTTATTATTTTTAGTTTTAATATAATTAAATTTTAAATACATTTTTAATCTCCATAAAATAATTGAATTTCAATTTTAGTTTTTAATTTAATTTTTTTTTAATTTATAAGCATTATTATTAATCTTTATAATATATTTTTGATCATTGTAAATATTTGTTTTAGTTTTATTTATATTATTATTTGCTTTTATTAATAAAATTAAATTAAATAATTTAATGAAATACTTTTTTTCATGTTTAAGGTTTAATATTAAATTATTTAAAAATATTTAGAGAAATTCAATAAACATCTTGTAATGTAAATGATGACAAATTATTATTAAATTTACGTTTTAATATGATTACTAATTACTAGTTATTTTTTCGTGCCAATGTTATTAGTAATTATAAAAAAATAAATGCTCTTTATATATTTACAAAATTATTCATTTGCATTAAAAATTTGCCTAAAATATTTATGTTATATAACTTATAAAAATTAATACAAATTATATAACAACTATAGTGATGGAAAATATTTTAGATATCATATAAGTTACCAAAATAACTACAAATGACACTAGTAAAGAATCTAGATTTGTTGCTTCTATGATGTCCGAGTTATTTTGATAAAAATGAATAAACTAAATAAATATAATAAATTAAATAAATGAATATACGATACTTTTATTATATTAATTTAGTATATTAATGTGAATTAAATATAATATATATGCTAAATAAACAAATATTTTCATACGTGAAAATTTTGTTATAAATTTTTTTTAGATATTTTTTTTTTGTTGATAATAGATAAATAAACTAAAATTTTTAATACATGATAAATAAAAAAATATATTAATTTGTCGTGTATATATATATATATATATCAAAGAGATAATAATTTTAATTTCTTTTTAAAAATAATATAAAATAGTATTAAAAATTTATTACATAATTATATGGGGAAAAATCAAATTACATCGATGTATATTTTACAACTATTACACTATTCAATAATTTTATATAAAGTAAATTTGGGCGATCAAATCATTGAATTCCGACTTTATATTACTTTGAATATGTATATCTAAAATTGAATAATTAATAGAAGACAATTAAATTATTCATATTTTAGTATATTTTGAAATGTATATATGTCAATTTTGATTAATAAAAAAGCAATATCAATCACTATGATGTATATATCTAAAACTTGTTGAATTTCCGTTGAAGTTAGTTTTTCTTTTTGTTATAAATCGTTATGATTCTAACCACGGAATCAAATACGGCAAGTATATATCGGTCATACTAGTAGTAAATTAAAATCGTATCCACAGGGACTAATATAGGTAAAATAAGTATTTAATGACTATTCGTAACTAAAGAATAATTCCAATTTTTCGAAGGTTGTAATGTAATTAGAACAAATGTTATGTTGCATTGGAATTTTAAATCTAGAAAACAATTTGTGTGTGTGTGGGAAGGATAGAAAATGATATTGTGAATTTGTGAGATCGTGGGGTCAGATATCACCAAACTTCACTCGGATGGATTACTGTTCTCTTATTGCACTCATAGCCCAGTCAACCCAAAAGTCTCATCAAACCTAATCCCTTAGAGAAAGAGCCTAGGTGCATATATTGAATATCAATCCCTTGAGTACCCAATACCTACACCCGCATTACAGATTAGGGTTTAAGACTACTAATGGGTCAAGCTCCATTCCTAGATACATTTCCTACTAGGTATTTTGTTTCAAAGCTAGTTAGTTTTAAAGGCTATTTTCCAATACCCAATGGACCCTATATCAAGCAAAGGAGAATTAATCCAAAGCAAGCATTAATAATAGAAACAAAACACAACAATGAATGAAATAAGCATATATCATTGATAGGATGAAGATTACACAAGAGTTCGGTTGGTTACATCTAACCCAACAAAATATTGGGTAGAACCACTCAAAATAATGAGGGTAAAACAAAAATAGAGATGGAAGAGAAGATGGAAGAACCGAAGGAAAGACCCACACACAGCACGATCCCAAGCACCGGGAATCCATTCCACAACTCCTAGAAGTTGCCCTATGTGTGAATGAGGAGGGAAGCCTCGAAGATTTGATCAAATACAAGCTGGACGAGTCAGGGTAGGGTTTACACACCCGACGCAATTCTTACACGCCCGACGCAATGTCTTCCAGAGAGGTAGTTGCTCTCTGTCTCTAGGCACGCCCGACGCAGGTACTCTTGCGCCCGACCTGAGCTATTAGGGTATTGAGGTGTATTAGGGTATTGTTAGATGATTTTTGGGTTAACTTTATCTGCACATAATTGAATCAAAAAAGGAACCATTATATTGCAAGAGTGGGTGGAATTGTTAAATAATTTATATATGCAAATAAGTATAAATGAGACTTAACATATATATGTGTGTTGGAGGGACCAAACTACACTAGTGTAACTATAACAACTATTGTATCGTTTAATAACTTTCAATTCGATGATGTTTCCTCAAAATCCATTGTTAGATTGAAACTTCATTTTTCTCACATTATATATACAAAATTTATATGAATAAAAAATTATCAATACCTCATTCATGTATATCAAAATTGACGTAATAGATATTTTTGTTCATTTTTTTAAAAAAAAATTGGCTTGTTCAAGGTAATACAAAATTTCAATCTAACAGTAAGTTTTGAGAAAATATAATTGTGACACCCCTCTATACTAAATAATTAAATAAAGAGTTAATTAACTTAATATAAAAATTTATAAAATACTAATAATTTTTTTTGTCTCAACACTTTGTAAAAGAGTTCATAATACTTTTTCACAGCTTTAATAAATGAAATAGAATATAAAGAAAATAATGCTTGAATCAAAATAAGGCACAAACCGTCTAATAGAATAAACTCAAAAGTAAAACATAAGAAAATAAAATTTAAAACAACTTCAACTAATTACTAAAACTAAAACTTTGCCCTCATCTCACACTAATCAAAGCAAAACCCCCAAACAAGTGATGCTTTTTAAGCTTATCTTTCCATCAAATACTTATTCTTGTACCTGATCTATTCTTGCAAATAGTGATCAACCCAAACACAAGCAACACAAATATAGGGAGTGAAAATATATCTCATCTATACATAACATATATAAGGCATAAGGATAAACACACACATCAATAACATCTCACATCCATGTAAGTTTCCTTCCATATTTCTACAATATCCATTTTCATACATCCATTTATCATCCATAACCAGCAAGTCATACAATTTATCTCAATCATAAATTAAGACTTGTGTAATGAATGTTTCTATCTCTATATGCATGTGACATCAATCTTCTTATCATCATTGAGAACACAAAATAGCTTAGGAGTTCATAACTGAAGTTCTAGACCTCTTTTTTGGGTGATTCCAGTGTCATTGGAAAGATAAAATCCAAGGCTACAACTTTCATGAGAGATCAAGACCAAATTCGGTCATCTACCCTCACCGTTGCAATGCTCAAATCAGTGCTTTAGCACTGGACTTTTGCTATCTCAGTTTCTTTTCCATAAGCATAACTGTGAATCCATGGCCATGGCTGCAAGTTTCTGCCACTCCATTTTTCCCCACGGCCATGGCCGTGAATCCATGGCCATGGTTACAAGTTTCTGTCACTTCATTTTTCCCCCACGGCCATGGATGTTAGTTTCAGCCACTTCATTTTTCCCCCATGACCATGGCTGTGAGTTTCACCCACTTCATTTTCCCCCACGGCCATGGTTGTGAGTCTCAGAATTTTTGAAATTTCATGGTTTTCACATTCGATCGTCTTCTTCTCTTCACCAATCTTTCGTTTAAACATGATCTATACTCAAAATCTCTACCCAATTTGTTCATACAGCCTAGAAAGCGCAAGAAATTCAACAAGCATGCAGCCAAATCCAAAGAAAATCATCAATGTTCAAACCTTTCATCAAAAAACTAGAACCCCATTGTTCAATATGAAAATCACTTCGGATTCATCCCCCATTTACAAATTTCAGAATCAAATCTCAATTTATTCAAATAACCTAACATGTAAATCAAAAACTCAAGTTTTCTAGCTTCCCTTACCTCAATCTCAAGCTCTACGAGGAAGAAGAAGAGAAGAATGAAGATGAAGAATGGAGAAGGAGAATCTGTGCAACTCCGGTGCTCAATGTAACGT